AGGAAAAAGGAAAAAAAAAATAAAAATAAAAAAGAAGAAAGAACGATGATTTTATGTCATTCAAATTTATTTTTTTTTTACCAAAAATTTTGATTGAATTTATTGCTTAAATATTAAATTTTAAATAGAAATGTGCGCAAAATTATTGCTAAATCAATCTAATCTTATTTGATCAAAACTTTTTTTTTATAACTTTTTAAATATAATTGAAAAGCTGTGACATCGTAAGATAGATTGGGATCAAATTGATCAATTCTACATACTAAAGTATAAGTTAAAAAAAGAGAAAAAAAATATTTAAATCAAAAAGCCAGAAATAAAAAAATGAAAAAATTTGAATTTTTTAAGAAGCGCTAAAAAGAGATAATAACATTTCCATTTGATCATAGCATTTGATCCTAAAAATCAATAATTTCTGGAAAATGTTCCCAATTTCATCCTAAAATCGAATGAAATCGATGTGACACTAAAATAGAAATTTGCAAATACTAATTTATTATATACTATAATGGAATTTAATAATTTATTCATATATAAATTGGGGTTGAATTTTACATTATAACGGAACAAAATAGAGGGATTAAAGGAATGAAAGAGGCGGTAATTGTTTAATTTATTTCTTGAATTGGTTGTGACACTGTCACACACCAATTTCACACATTCTAATTTATTTGTGTATGTTTTTTTTTTTATCTATCATTTCATACAGAAATAAATTTTTATCCTTTCAGAAATGAAATTTAATTATAGCAATCATTTTTGAGTGACAGATCAATTCCTTAAGGCATTTTCCGTACTTTCTTCCGGTTAATATTATCAGTATCGTACGTAAATTACAACATCTTTCGATTGTGATATTATACCGGAAAGTAACTTTACGTTAAAAATAATTTCCTTTTCAACTAGGCATTCTATCTCTAATCTTTAAAATAATCAAAATTTGCTTTCTGATCGATGTTTGTTCAAATATAAGAATTGTGATGTCAGTTTATTGATTAATCGAAGCCAAGTTCCAGCAATTGGCGCAGATGACGCAGGCGCAAACGGATAGAAATGAAATATTGAGAATGCTTTTGGTGTACTATCGAAATTTCTATTTATATAAAACCTCAAATACTTGTTGATTTAACTTTTCAAATGCAAATGAGCTAAGGATGACAATTGATTGCGGTCATCTGCGAGTGACCAAATTAGAGACTTCACGAATAGATAATTTCACGGACTGCTAAACATTGTTTGTAATTTGTTCGAAATGATAAAATTGTCTGAAATTCGTGGAATTTAATTTCTCTATTTAAATCTTTCTTAAAGTTTCTTTTTTCTTCGTCGAACTTTAGTTTGCTGTGCAGCAGCAAAAAATCAAAATTTTCAATAATTTTTTTTTCTACCGCAAAGTAATTTACACCTCGCAGTTTTGCAACGTTGAATGAGCTAAAGATCAGTTATCCGAATGAGTTAAAGATCAGTTATCTGATTGAGCTAAAGATCAGTTATCTGAATGAGCTAAAGATCAGTTATCTGATTGAGCTAAAGATCAGTTATCTGAATGAGCTAAAGATCAGTTATCTGAATGAGCTAAAGATCAACAAACCGGATGAGCTAAAGATCAATTATTCATCTTAGCAAAACAGAATGTTCGAGATCTAAAGTGATAGTCGAGAATATCGTTCTCATTATGTAACAATTATAATTTCAAAGTGCTATAATACAAATAAACTGTTTTCCAGTCAAAATCATATCTGGCGGTGCTATTGGACCAAAAATTCCTTTTTGAATTGAAATGTTTAGATTTAAAAAGTTAATTTATGGATGAATCTCTTACAGACTCTATTTGAGGATCATAAAATTTGTCTGTCATAAAAAGAAGCCATAAATTTATTTGTGTTTGGTGTCGGATCATTTCAAGGCGACATCTAATCTCTGAAGTGACAATGCTTTCTGCCAGCATTTATGTGTACCATATTTCAATTCAAATTTGAATTTTTCATATTTCAATTCAAATTTTAATCTTTCATATTTCAATTTAAATTTGAATTTTTCATGTTTCAATTTAAATTTGAATCTTTCTTCAATTCAATTTAATTAGAATTTGCATTTCATTACTTTAATGGTATTTGATATGCCATTAAGTTATGTGAGAAAAGCAAAGGATTGAAGTATGCAATTAATCTTTCTTTTTTTGGCTCCAACGATTGTTTACCGATGGATTACAGACACGGATCAGTGATAATGGCACTCTTTGATGAAAAAAACGGTATAAATTGTTTACCGTAATCAGATTAGCTTTATGCATCATAAAGCGAACGAAGTAAAAATCTCTATTAAATATCGTTAATAGTAATTATTTAATTTTAATTATTTTAGTATAATTTAGTTATTTAATTGAATAAAACAACGATTCGTATATTTTATTTGAGTAGAATTGGGTTATTTTTGTTTAGTAAAATTCAATTTTAACAATCATCAAATGCCTAATATTATTTGACGACAGCAGTAATAAAGTTTGTGACAATGGAAAATCCACGGAAGAAGTGGCTGCGTAGAAAGATTTTACAAGTTTGAAACTTTTAACAGACAACAAATTTTGGTGTTATTTAATAAACATTTTAGTGTGCAAAGAGATCTGATTAAAAAGAAATGTTTTCTCTTTTTGAAGAGAATTAAGAAATGAAAAGATTTTTATTAATATTTGATTTTTCTTTTTTGTTAGCTACAAAAATAAATAAATTGAGAAATTCAACTATTTAATTAGATTAGTGTTTTCTTTTTTTTTTACATTCGATATTATCAAGCATTGAAAAAAAAAAAAAGAAATTACTGGTTTTTGCATTTATTTCGTCACTTACTATTTTCAAGCAAAACTAAGAAAACAACAAATTCAAATTTGCTTGTTGATTGGTTGATTTAAAGTGTTTGAATTTTAACACTTCACATATTTACAAAAGAAGTAAACATTTTTTCTTTTCTTTTCATTTTTTTTTTTTTTTTTTCGATGGCGCAAATTTTTAGCGCTGAATGGCGCAAATGAGTACCAAGTGAAACGTATCGGAAAGGAATGAGAAAAGTAATTATAAAACACATTCGTTTTATTGAATTCATTCAATAAAAAAAAAAAAAAAAAAAATAAGAAAAGAAAATTGAAGTAAAAAAAAAAAGTAACAAAAATTTGATTGAAATTTTGGTGTAAATTTTGTGCACTATTTATATCGAAAAGGTAAATATTGGCATATTTGGATGTTTTGAACTATCACAAATAAAATATTATAGAAATAAATTGAATTGATTTGAAGGAGAAAATTTGAATAAATTAGATTGAAATTAGAAGGTCAAAGTTCATTATGGCATATTAATTTAAAGTGTAAGGAATAGGAAGCAAAAAGGAGCGAAGAATATAAGTTTAAAAAAATTTGAATTAAATTAAAAATAAATATTAAAGTTAAAAAATATGCTTAAAATTTCAGTTGTGAAAAGTGATTAAAAATTCAAAATTTAGCAGTGCTATGATAGAATTTATTATAAATTTTTTTATTATATTATTTTTTTCTTTTATTATATTATATTATTATATTTTATTATATTTTGCATTTGTTAGCTAAATTTTGATGCAATTGCAAATTTCAGTTGTACTAATAACAATAATCTTCGACAATTATTATGTGTGAAATGCCGCCGTGCGCAAAGTGATAGATTTTATTTACTTTCTATTATTATCTGATAATACTACACATAACAAGAAAACTTGAATTTAAAAATATCTGAGAAATTTTTAAAAATTTTTTTTCTGATTTTTTGATATACACTTACTACTAAGTTTAAAAGTATTCACTTATTATATTTATGCAATTGTGGTGAGATTACTTGTTCACTGATAATGCTGATTAGTTTGATAAAGTTAGCATTGTGCAGATTATCACTGATAATACTAATATTGGATAATAATATCAATAAATAAAAGTCACACAACACGAAGAAAGTGAAATATGCATAAAGACAAAGAAGAAATTAATTAATTTAATAAATGCAATAAAGCAAATTTTATTTAAAGAAATTGCATAATTAAAATGAATGTTATTTTAAATAAAATTGATAAAATATATAATTTTATGCATTGCAGATATTATCACTGATAATATTGGAGGAATTGCAGATATTATCACTGATAATATTGGAGGAAAGATGAAAAATGCTTTTTTCAATTAAATAATTATTAATTGTTTTTCAATATTGACACAAGTTAGAGCCATAAATAATTTTTTTTCTTTTATCATTTTTTTAAAATTCAATGTTTTCAAGTTAATTATATAATAGTCATGTTATAAGCATTTTTTTTTCTTTCCTTTTTTGGTGGAAATTTCATAAAATAATATTTAAATAATAAAATCGAAAATTAACAAATTGTTCCATTCAAAAATTTCCTAAAAAAAAGAAAGAAAAAAAAGAAAAGAAAATATTACAACAATAATTAATTGGTTCATTTAGATGTATTATATAAACAAAAGAAAAGAGAAAATATTAATTAATTCAAACTTTCATATTTCTATATTAAATTTAAAAAAAAAAATTCAAAAATATTATAAAAATTTTCAAACAACTATGGAATTATTTCCATTGCTGTATCATTAATCGAATGAAATCCGAATTTTGATTTTAATCCGGAAAAATGAATGAACGGATTTATATGCCTGTTTTAAAGTTTGAAATTTAACAGTTGCACTGTGCAACTATTTTATGGCTGTGTTTTTTTTCAAATTTCAACCAAAGTTTTTTTTTTTTTCGTTGTTGTCGCGGAATTGCGGGTTTTTTCCTGATTCAGGAGATGGTGGTAGCTTGTTTTATTCAAATTCGAGAGCAGAGTTTAATTTATTGTTTGATTATGTAATTTTAAATTTGTTGTTTATGTTTCTTAAGATTTAGGCAAATGTTATTTTTCAATGGATTTACTTGAATTGGAATAAAATATTAGCAGGAATTATTGCTTTTGGTCCAATTTAATTTTCAGCATGATAAACGACAGCAAATCAGATGTAAAAATTAATGCGGATGAATTGTCCGAGAAAGACCTGTATCGACTAAAGCTTATTACGAGGAATTTACAGGCGCGTTACAAATAGAGATTTATTATTTCATGCCTTGAAATGGAAAAGTGATGATCACTTATCTACAAAAGGACAATTCATATGACTTATCCTTATATATTCTACTGATCGTTTATTTTAGGAAGTTTTGGGATTGGAAAAAATTACAAAACAGTTGGCATCGAAAAAAAATATTCATGTATACTGGGGTACAGCGACTACAGGGAAACCGCATGTGGGATATTTTGTACCAATAAGGAAAATTGCTGACTTTTTGACTGCAAATTTGAAGGTTTTTTATAATACTGTTGTTAATTAATTTTAAGGTAGCTTTCTTAGTAATACTTCACAAAATAAGTTTCGATTGTGGAACGAATTTTTAGTGGTTTTAGTTTGTTCAAGTTTTATTGCTATTGTTTTTGCTGGAAATTCTAATTTCGCAGGATAATAGAGTAACTTCGCATCCAGGTGACAATACTATTTGCTGATTTGCATGCATTTTTGGATAACTTAAAAAGCAGTTGGGAGCTTTTGGATAATCGGGTATTATATTATGAAAAAGTAATCAAAGCATTGCTTACTGCATTGCATGTACCACTGGACCAGCTGCATTTTGTTAGAGGGACATCCTACCAGTTGACAAGGTTAATTTTTCATTGAAATGTTTACTGTTTACATAATTCATTGGTTGATTAGTTAATATTGATCAATTTAGCAGGCTTTTTGTTTGGTACTCAACTACGCTCTCATCATTTTTACATGAAATTAGTTAATAATTCATATTTTAAGGGAATATACATCTGATTTACTTCGGTTATGTAATAGTGTAACAAGGAGAGACGCTTTACGTGCTGGCGCTGAAGTGGTGAAGCAAGTAAGATTTCTTTTTCTGAATATATGCTGATTAGGTACTAAAATAAGGTCTTTAAAAGGTTTCAGTAGGTAGTTTAGTAATTCTTCGTTCCTTCTAGGTAGCATCACCCTTATTGAGCGGTTTACTCTATCCATTATTGCAAGCTTTGGATGAGCAGTACTTGAAAGTTGATGGTCAGTTTGGTGGAGTGGACCAAAGAAAAATTTTCATACTGGCTGAGGAACAGCTTCCAAAATTAAAATTAGGTAAAAGGTTTCACCTTATGAATCCTATGGTACCTGGATTGCAGGGATCGAAGATGAGCAGGTAGTTTTTTAAATTTGTCGGTTTGTTTGATTTCCATTCTATTTTTGCCGATCAATTGAATACATTTGAATTAGTTTTGTCAGATGCTACTTAATTTCTTAAGTCTGCGTAGCTTTCTATTGTACGGAAGTTTGTGTTTTCTCTCACTAACATTTATTGGAATTTGCTTTCTATATTTGTTGAAACGTAATAGTTTTAATTTAGTTCGGAAGAAAATTCAAAAATTGATTTGCTGGATAAAGCAGATGTAGTGCGGAGGAAAATCGATAGTGCTGTCTGCAGTCGTGATTCCGATGAAAACGGTATACTAGCATTCTGTGAGCATGTTTTATTTCCAATTATTTCTCCAAAAACAATCAGTTTTGGTGGAAAGGAATATGACAACTATGAGAATTTGCTTGAAGAATATAATGCAGGAGAGATCTCTGAAACTGCTTTGAAAGCGACTGTTAAGGTCTGTACTGTCTCATATTTTACCCTTATATTAAATTTGCATTAAATGGAAAAACAAAAATCTCAATAAAAATTTTCGTTAGTATTTAAATGAGTTTAACTTAATAAGTTTATCTGATTCGTGATTACTGGTATTAGTAAATAATGCGATGAAAAGTTGTAGTCGGTGACAGAAGCTTTGAATTTGCATATTCTAATACGCGTGCTATGTTTTTAAGTAGTAAGCGTGCAAAATATGCGAAATTATTAGGTAGCAAAGGGTTCTATTGGTAGTTCAAGTGAACATACAAAAAGCCTTGATGCTGCAACAATTTGTTGCTAACATTAAATCACGTCTTGAAAGTTTACACGTAAGAAGTCACTTTGTAGTATCACAATTTATTTTCCACCACATTTCTTTTTATGAGATTTCTGATGTTTCGATCGGTTAAATTTTTTCACTAAATTTATTAGTATCATTTTGAAATGTGACACTCATGAGTCTAAGAACTATTGTTATGGCGTAGTGTGAAGCTGTTCTGTTGGCGTGTTGAGGTTTTAAGGTTCATTACCATCGCTATGCATACCTCTAAAACTGATACAGGTATGTATATTCATGTATCAGTTTCGCAGTATGCAAAATAGATATCGAGTATTCTCATTAGATACAACGATAATTCGTTGTATTCTGTAGTATTTGTTCGAACAATTCGGTTATATTTCTTCTACATTGCATTTATAATCCATGTGTTCTTGTTTTTATTTAATTTCCTTACTTTATTTCCTTTTTTTTGATTGATTGATTACTTGGGTCATTTGATCATGCTTGTTTTGTAGGAATTTATTTGTGAGGTACTGGAAGAAGTGCAAAAGAACTGTATGGACGAAGAAATGCTATTATTACTAGAAAAAGGATATTCCACAAACATATTAGATAATAATTTAGCACACTCTTCTAATCCTATCGTCGATGATAGCATCACTCTGAGTGGTGAAGAAGATCAAAGGTTTCGAGAAATTACCTGCGATACTGAGGTATTTGTGTTTTATGAGATTGCATGAATGATTCTTACATAAATGTTATACTTTTAGATAATTGAACCGAAAAACTTCGTACAAATTATTCAACTTTTAATTGTATATCTTGCAGTTAGTCAGTGGTGAAATATGGCTTAAAAGACGAATCAGAGAGAATAGTTTATTACATATTGTTTATACGATAGCACCAAAAGGTCGCTTTCATCTGGGTTTTGTTATTCCACTTTTCAAATTGAAGGTTCTTTTTTTGATTTTCTACTTTTTTTTTAAGTTGTTTATATTTTTTGGGAATCTTCTTTCTTTTTACAAAAAAAAAAATAAGATTGTTGTGGCTCATTTTTCAAAATAATTAGTTTTTCTTAGTTTTTTCTGACTTCTCACCTGCCATTTTTATTGTTTTTGCGGGTATTAGTTTTCTCAAGATTAAAAAATATACGTCATTCATGCAGACAAATGTTATTGGAGTTATTTTACATCTCGATGGAAATTGATTTCCTCTGGCAACTTTTACTACGATCTATTGATCTTACAGGGTATTGTCATTTGACGATATATTTAATACTTTTGTGTTTAGAAACTACAGTTGCTGGGAAATGTTTCTATAACAATAGTTTTGGCTGATATCGATGCTTTTTTGGATAACGAGAAATGCTCTTGGAATATTCGAGACGCACGCTGTGATTATTATAGTATGGTTTTGCAGCAGATTTTTATTCTACTTGACTTAAAAGATATCAAAATTGTTCGAGGATCGAGCTATCAATTGGAACGGTTAGTATTATTTTTCTTAAATCACAACATATTTATGCATGAATTGAATTTTTGCCTCAGATGGGGTAAGAATATTCGGCAAATCCTGATATTGTAGCTTAACTTCAGTTAAAATAAGTTGGATCATTGATATTAATTTATACTTAAATTTGTTAATCAAGTATGAAACAAAATGAAGTTTATATATAGGGAATATACTTTTGAAATGTATCAGATGGCTTCCAAAGTAACACGAGATGAAGCATCCATACTGGAAGGAGTAACATTGGGCTCATTATTATCACCTCTATACTTCACCATTGACCACTATTTTATGAATGTTGATATTGTTATAATGGGCGAAGAAATGCGTCCTTTTTCGGAATTCTCTGAGCAGGTTTTTAATTACTATTTAATTTTCAAATTATGATTGAATTTCTTTTGTTGTTTGATATAGAATGCATTTTTTATTTATTTTCATTTATATGACAATATTTGTAAATATTCTTGATTTCTCATTTTTTAATAGAGTTCTAGAAATTTACTTTTGTCATCACAAGAAGGTTAAATTATTCACAGATTGTACTTCATCGTATCTTCCGGTTTTTTAGATGATGCAACGACGTGGACAACAACCTCGTGCACATTTATTAGTCCCAACCTTGCCATCTATGTCAGGTAGTAAAATGTCTGCATCAAATCCTGAATTTCATCTGGATCCTCTGGATACACCAAAGCAAATCAAGCAGAAGATCGCACGTTCATTTTGTGAACCTGGTAATTTAAAAGGCAATATCGCTTTTGAACTTGCAAAACAGTTTATATTTCCTCATTTTGGATCAAGTGAGTTATCTTAATCATTTTTCATACTTCATTATAAAAATTATTTGGTGCAGTGCAATCTAAGGATTATTTAGTCTTCCGCACGAGATTTCCTTTAATACATGTTAAGTAATAAAATCTGTATGGTATAGCTGTGAACTCTATCATTGATATCCCATAACTGATCTATTTTTATTGCCCTACATAATTGCTGAAAATCAAATTGCTAATTAGTCAAGTATTTCTTTATTATTATTATTTTGCTGTTTGAATGGAAATGTAATGACTCCTTTTTGCTCATTTCCTTTACCTTTAATGTTAAAGGTGATTATATGCATTAACCGTGTACTATTTCTTTGGAGTTGTTTTAGGGATTTTCTGAATTGCTTCGATTTTATAATGAGTAAGTGAATTTTGAATTTTAGAATTGTTAATCGAACGTTCGGAAGAAAACGGTGGAAATATAGAGATTAATGGTTGTGATGAATTGGAAAGAATAATTGTGGATGGAAGTTTACATCCCGCAGATTTAAAAGCAGTAGTTATATCTAAAATCAATCAGTTCTGCGACCCTATTCGAACATGTTTTACAACTAAAACAAAGTTAATATCAACAGCTTTTCCTAGTAAAAAAGGTGGTAAAAAATAATTTAAGCAATAGTGGAATATGGTCTGCTTGTATATGTTGCTATAAATTTTTAAAATATTTGAAGTGACAGCAATCATCTTTTCGTTTTTGTTTTCAATGTTATCCAAAAGGAAGCCATTTAAAATCGTAGTCATGACATGCTAGCAAATTATCTAATTCTTCAGCAAGTTCCGGATACGATTAGGCAGTGATTTCTTTATACTTTCATTACTTCCGTCTTTTTATAATATATTTGACATTATGATTATTACAAACAACAAATTCAGTATTTATGATTATGCTTTATTTATGATTCATTTTCTCTTAATTATTCTATTATGGAACTAAATGCAACTTTCTTTTTTTGAGAAAATAAAATGGAAGGTGAGGCCTTTTTTTTCTTTTTTCTTGGTTGTTATATTTAGAGAAATTAGGGGAATTCTGTGGACCAAATTTATATAACAGATTAAGCAGTAAAACGGTTTGGTGGTAGGGTGAAAATCTAGTGATTTATGTAAGTCTTCCCATCTCTTTTTCTTTTTTTGTAATTTAATAAAAATCAAAAATATTGATGTAAGAATTTATAAATTTGAAATATCACTGTTATTAGAAGAAATGATTTTTTTTAATGCTTTTATATTCATTTTGTCTGCAATATTTTATTCATATAAAGTATATTGTTGAATATTGTTTTTGTTGTCAATTAATAAAAGCTAAGCTTTTGTTTCATTTATAGCCTAAATTGCTTTGGAACATTGTCTTGAAGCATTCTGATCTTAAAATTTATGACAGTCTGAGTGTAAATACAGGTGTTCATCTTATGATTTATGTAAAAATAAAGATTAAAAAAAAAAAAAAGTCAATCATTTCATATCATTTGGTAAATTGTAATAGACGAGAATAGAAGATCAGAGCATGCTATTCTTTATCATTAATTTTCTTTCAAACAATAATTATAACTCTAATATATCAAATATTCAATTAGAATTAATCTATAAGTTTTGTTAAATTTTAAATTGTACCTAAAATAAGTCTAATTGTCTGATTGGAAATTTATTCTTTATGCATTAATATGAAAGTAAACAAAGAAGACAGAAAAATTTTTCTACTAATGGCAATTTTGATTTATAATCTTTAAATCATCATTTGAATATTAAAACGGTAATGATGATAGTATGATGATTGTTGTTGGTAAATACCATTTAAGTGGAATTGCAGGGAACGATTAAAAGATCAGAACGATAATGTGTTTTGTGTTTGTGGACAGTACGAAGAGCTCAAATTCTTAATTATGGACTTTTAGGAGCAATAAGACGGATGATGAAAATGATTAATAACATTTTTGAAAGGTAGTAAATAAAAAAAATGAAATTGATAAATAACATTTTTGAAAGGTAATAAATAAAAAAAAAAAAAAAAAAAGTTACCTAAAAATTAATAATAATAAATTCTTCAAATCAATCTAAATTATACCAATTCATATAGCAATTTAATGACTAAAATTTAATCAAAATTAAATCATTATAATGAATTTTAATGATAATATTAGCTAATAATTACTTACTCTTAAAATTTTATCAAAGTATGAGTCATTTATTTATGAAGTGAAACAGTCAGTCATTTATTTAGCAAAATAATAAATAAAAACTAAAAAAAAAAAGAAAATTTTTTTTTTTCTTTCAATATCATTTTAAGTTGATAAATTTTTTGAAATAGTATTTAAAATTGAATATAATTAAGAATGATTATAAGTGATGACACTGCTGGTATGGTTGATGACAAAGGTCATTTCATTCATTTCATTTTTGCTTTTATTTCTTCCTAACCTTTCTTTCCTTACTTCATTTCAACATTTCGGTTTCTTTTCATTTTTCTTTTTCTTTTATCTTACCGATTCTATTTTATTCCATTTCAAATAGATTCTACACTTCACACTAACACTATTTGTCGTAGGTTTTTTTTTAACCACCTGCAGAGTGATTCATTTGCGGAATTGTTTTGTTAACTAAATGATATGCTAGCAAAATGTACTTCCACTGTTAATTAATTAATGTACCTCATATGGAGTTTTAGCAGGTAAAAATAAGCAAATTCTTTGATCTTTTATTTTCAAATAAAATTCAAATTGTAATCATTAAATGAGTTTAAAATATGTTTGCTCAAATAAAGTGCAAAAAATTTTCTTCCTCAAATTTTTTTTTTTTTGAAGTAAAAAAAAATTAAAAAAAATTCTTCCTAAAAATATACTATGATAAAGACCTAAAAAATATATGAAAAATACACCAACAACAACAACAAAAAAAAAGTAAACCTAAAAAAACCTAAAAAAAAACCTAAAAAAAACCTGAAAAATATTATGTGATAGAGCAAACGAATATTTTTCTCTTTCAATTTCTCTCTCACTTTTAACACTTTTCATATTTATTAATGTTTTATTTATTTATTTAATTATTTTTGTTAAATATTTTAGGCAAAAATTAAAATTGAAATATATCACTAATATTTTATTATTTCCATATAAATTTGTTAAGTTTTTTGATGACTATGAAGTAAACAATTTGAGAGCAATGAAAATAAATTTTTCAAATTTAATAAAAATAACAAAAAAAAAAATTTTTTTTTGCTAAAATTTTTATCTAAAATATTTGAAATATAATAATTATTAATTATTATTATATTTTATACAAATGTAAAATGTCATTAATGGATTGTTTAGAGAATGAATGATTTGATTGTATATTTTCATCAAATTAACTTTTACTTTACTTTTATACTTTACAACAAAAAAAAAAAAAACTTTCATTTTATTTTTCTTTTTGTTATTTTTGTCAAACATAAGTGCTACTTAATAGCATTTATCATATGTAACAATTAATATTATAAAATTGAATTTAAATAAAATGGAAGGAAAAAATTTGCGCAAAATGATTAACTCTATCAGATCAGAAGATTGACTAAAAAATAAATTTAGTTTTTCATTGTTTGATCACATAAATTTTCAAATATTTCATTTGCGCAATTTGATTAAATTTACAAATAATTAATTCTATCAGATTTATGAAAAGTTTTGAAATTATCATTTGTATAAATTTTTCTATCATTAAAATCTTTTAAGAAGAAAAAAAAAAGCTAAATAATGAAATTAAACTTATGCAAAATTAAGGGTAAACCAATTTTAATACTTAAAATGTAGCAAAAGCGCATAATTGTTTGCATAATTATTATTCGTCAAGGAAATTACAAGCAAACAATTATAGCACAATTACAATCACTATGCTTTTGCATTACTGCGCAACAATTAGAGGGATAAAAGGAGAGAGAAGAAGTGGCGGTAATTGTTCAGTTTATTTCTTGAATTGCTTGTGACACTGTCACACACCAATTTCACACATTCTAATTTATTTGTGTATGTTTTTTTTTTATCTATCATTTCATACAGAAATAAATTTTTATCCTTTCAGAAATGAAATTTAATTATAGCAATCATTTTTGAGTGACAGATCAATTCCTTAAGGCATTTTCCGTACTTTCTTCCGGTTAATATTATCAGTATCGTACGTAAATTACAACATCTTTCGATTGTGATATTATACCGGAAAGTAACTTTACGTTAAAAATAATTTCCTTTTCAACTAGGCATTCTATCTCTAATCTTTAAAATAATCAAAATTTGCTTTCTGATCGATGTTTGTTCAAATATAAGAATTGTGATGTCAGTTTATTGATTAATCGAAGCCAAGTTCCAGCAATTGGCGCAGATGACGCAGGCACAAACGGATAGAAATGAAATATTGAAAATGCTTTTGGTGTACTATCGAAATTTCTATTTATATAAAACCTCAAATACTTGTTGATTTAACTTTTCAAATGCAAATGAGCTAAGGATGACAATTGATTGCGGTCATCTGCGAGTGACCAAATTAGAGACTTCACGAATAGCTAATTTCACGGACTGCTAAACATTGTTTGTAATTTGTTCGAAATGATAAAATTGTCTGAAATTCGTGGAATTAATTTCTCTATTTAAATCTTTCTTAAAGTTTCTCTTTTCTTCGTCGAACTTTAGTTTGCTGTGCAGCAGCAAAAAATCAAAATTTTCAATAATTTTTTTTTCTACCGCAAAGTAATTTACACCTCGCAATTTTATAACGTTGAATGAGCTAAAGATCAGTTATTTTATTGACCTAAAGATCAGTTATCCGAATGAGCTAAAGATCAGTTATCCGAATGAGTTAAAGATCAGTTATCTGATTGAGCTAATGGTCAGTTATCTGATTGAGCTAATGATCAGTTATCCGAATGAGCTAAAGATCAGTTATCTGAATGAGCTAATGGTCAGTTATCTGATTGAGCTAATGGTCAGTTATCTGATTGAGCTAATGATCAGTTATCTGATTGAGCTAAAGACCAGTTATCCGAATGAGCTAATGATCAGTTATCCGAATGAGCTAATGATCAGTTATCCGAATGAGCTAATGATCAGTTATCCGAATGAGCTAAAGATCAGTTATCTGATTGAGCTAATGATCAGTTATCTGATTGAGCTAAAGAGCAGTTATCCGAATGAGCTAATGATCAGTTATCCGAATGAGCTAATGATCAGTTATCCGAATGAGCTAATGATCAGTTATCCGAATGAGCTAAAGATCAGTTATCTGAATGAGCTAAAGATCAGTTATCTGAATGAGCTAATGGTCAGTTATCTGATTGAGCTAATGATCAGTTATCCGAATGAGCTAAAGATCAGTTATCTGAATGAGCTAAAGATCAGTTATCCGAATGAGCTAAAGATCAGTTATCTGGTTCAGCTAATGATCAGTTATCCGAATGAGCTAAAGATCAGTTATCCGAATGAGCTAATGATCAGTTATCTGATTGAGCTAATGATCAGTTATCTGAATGAGCTAAAGATCAGTTATCTGGTTCAGCTAATGATCAGTTATTTGATTGAGCTAAAGACCAGTTATCCGAATGAGCTAATGATCAGTTATCTGATTGAGCTAATGATCAGTTATCTGATT